TCGAATGTGAATTCTGATCAAGATTATGCATATATAACTTACATTCTCCTCTAGATACTAGGCAACAGAAGTTATATACCCCGTTACTCCATGCTTTATTGGATAAGCTTAGTTAAAGTTCTTTAGGAAAACTCTCGTCAATCGCTTTAAGTTGAGCTTAGCAATGTCAGCTTAGCTTTAGTCAACTTGTTGAGTAGAAACCTATTTAACAATTAAGCTTAATTCTTGAACCAGAGATTCCCCTCTTCGAAAGCCCCGCTCTCTCTCTCTCTCTCTTTATCTTCGTATGGAGGATTATGGGAATTGTTCACAGGATTAAAAAGCCGAGTTGAAGGCAATGCAAAGTCGTTGCAATCAACGGATTAATGTGATTTGTGTTAGTCAACAGGCAACAGCCATGTCTGGTGCTTAACCAGGAGAGCAAAAGCTGCCAGGGATTAGGCGACCACATCAGGGATAGAAGCAACAGCGACTACGCTCTACGCTCTACCTCTACCTCTCTCTCTCTCTCGCTCCCCTCTCTCTCTCTCTCTCTCTCTCTCTCTCTCTCTCTGTCTGTCTGTATTTTTGTCGTATCTCCTTCTCTCTTGGGCCTACTTTGCGCCTGTGCTTGATTTTTTTAGCCTTTTGCCATTCGTTTTTGTTGTTGACAACGTTGGCAACATGGTTAAGCCCCGGCCTATATCCCCAGCACCTGTCCCTGCCCCTGTCCTGCGCCTGCCCTTGCCCCGGCCGCTCAGCTGGCTGCTCGTTTTTGTTGTTAATTGCAATTATGATAATGAATCTTACAAAAGACTAATTAGTATGTTAAAAATGTTGGCGAGCACAAAAGCTGCGGATTTATACATTTACCTGTCGTCCCACTCATATATGCGCATGTGTGTGTGCGTGTGTGTGTAGTTTTAAGAGCTCTACTCTAATGTGTGTGAGTGTGTGTGTGTGTGTGAATGGGCCACAGGCACAAAGGCAAAGGCAACAATAGATGGGAAGGGGCTGAAGCCAGAGTCCTTTCAACTTGGATGTTATTTAATGTGTTGCAAGCCAATTTTAATGCCTCTACATCAATGGCTGTGTATGTGTGTGTGAGTTTGGGACCATGCTGACATTATAGGAGTCGAAAAACTTGGGGAATTTAAAGGCAATGCAAAGGTTATCAAAAAAGGGCAGCAACACATTCTATGAACTTGGAACTAGTTGATATATGAAGCTAAAAACTAATTTCGTAGGCTAAACTAAAATGCCTAAGTTAATTAAAGGAATGAACAAACACTATCAATAGAGAGTAATCTTAATATTTATCGATATCAAGAGCAAAGAAGTCATAACAAATATAATATGACATGGAAAATGAGTCTATGAAATTCGTTGATGTTACTGGACGATTACTACAGCTATGAACAAAGCTATCGATAGTTATCGAGATCGATTAAGTTTATTTTTAATGTTTAAAAGTTAAGTTTTAAATTAAAATACAAATAAAAACAATGATCCCAAACTACATTTTAATATATTCAGAACTGATCAACACGACTGCACTGAAGATACAGTCATTGATATCGATATTTATCGACCGCCGTATAGATTTCCCAAACTGCACATACTTGTATTATCTAGACATTTATCAACTGCTTTAAAGCCAAATGAAATTATCGATTTAATTTATTAATTTTTCATGCAAATTGCTTAATTATTGTTAAATTAATTGAATAAAAAGCGCCAATTAAGATAATTGATAATGGGCGTGAAAGAGATGACAACACGCTTGGCCATTTAAATTGATATCGATATGTATGTATATGCATACCTGTGTGTGTGTGTGTGTGTGTGTTGGTGTAGTAATGTTTATGACATTTTATATTCAATTGTTGCGGTTTGTTTATTGTAATTGAAATGCGTTTATTTGCTTTAATTCTCATTTGGAACTAAAGCGCCACTAGCGGCAATTATTGGCACTAATCTGTGCAAGGTTAGCCCATTAGGTGCGCCCACAGCGCTCATTTTTTCTGTTATTCTCTCTCTCTCGCTCTATCACTATCTCCATACCGCTCACACGCTCGCTCGCACAGCGACAGACAATCTGGTTGCATATTTTATGCCCTGCGTCTGTTTTGCATTTGAAATCTGTTGACTCTTTAATCGATTTAGCAGCATCGACTGCTGCAGGCGACACATGAATTAGCCTGACAATGGAGGCATCGATAACAGCAGCAGCATAAATACACGCTCCTAATCCCCTGTCTGCCTCCTCTCTCTCGCTGTCTCTCTCTCTCTCTGTCCCTCTCACGCCCACACAACCGCCGTCCATTCACTCACTCACAACAGCCATTGCGCCAGCAAGTATATTCGCTTTAACACAAACTTTTTATTCCCACTCTCCTTTTTTTTTTTCGTTTTCTCTCCAAGTTGTAGATTTTCATTTTCGATTTGTGCTCGCACTCGCTCGCACGCCCACAAATTGCCGGCGCATTTGCATACACGCACAAATACACACCGACACAGGCTCTTCTCCACTTTCCAGCTATGCCTTCTTCGCATGCTTGTGTGTATGTGTGAGCGAGTGCGCGTGCAGCTTAGACGAACGCTGCCTGTGCGCGACAAGAACAGCTGCGTAGCTGTTGTGCATTCAGGCTGCGCTTCCATTGGAATTCGCCGTTTGCTTCAACAGTTAAGCTGCGAGCAGCGCTTACAGATGGCTTGGCGTTAAATGCTTTGCAATTAAAGATAGAAAACAAAAACTCACCGTTAGGTTGGCCTTCCAGCTGTAAGGAGAAAACAAAGAAGACTTTAAGTTCGTTTTGAATATTTTGGCAATGCTGATTTAACCTGTGATGCATTCCGTCCTTTTCCTTTTGGATATTATGTTTTTTTTTAGAGTCCGAGTCGCATTAAGCTCGCACAAGCTGCAACATTTAGCATATTAAGCGGGCACTGAAGTCGAACTGGCCAACAAATCCGGGACAGCTCTACAGTTCCAGTTCCACTCTGTGCGGCTCTGTCTGTGTCTCGTCGCGCAGCCATTCACTCGCCTCATCCGGATGCATGTGTGCGTGCGTGTCTGTGTGTGTGTGTGTTTATGTGGTTGTGTTCGCAGACATGCGGATGTTGTGCGATGCTGTTTATGCCTTTTACATTTTCCGCCATAATGAATTCTATGTTGCAGCCAAAGCAGCAGCTCAGGCGGCGGCAGAGGTAGCGGCAGAGGCAGAGGCAGAGGCAGCGGCAGCGGCATCGCACTGTGAAATTTCTAACTTCCGCTTTTTGCAAAGTTGACAACATGTCTGACCAGCTGCACAGTCCATGCGCTCACCTCTCTCCTGCTCTCCCTCTCTCCTGCTATCCCACTCTCCACTCCCGCTCGGTCTCTCCAAGAGCTGTCTGTTGCTTCCAGCCAAGCTCCAAGCATATGTGAGAGTTGCGTCCATGAACTGTTTCCTTGCAAACGCAGTTTCTTCCACTTTTCCTGTTGTGCTCGGCCTTTAACATACCCTTTAATTGCCTATTTGCTTGACGAAATTAAATGTGACGGCAAATTATAATATTAATATAAAATAGATTTTGCAGTTCCATAAAATTTAATTATAAAACATTTAAGATTCTATAAATTTAACCGAATAAAAACACCCAATGAAATACAAAATGTATGTAATGCATATGCCCCGCTCAATATACTTACCCAGTCTAGGGTATTTTAACTTCTGCGCCTAATTGTTGACGCTAGCCTCATTTTTTGTACCGCTATCTGCTATGTCCTGGCAAATACCAGACACTTAAGCGCATTACGCCAGAGTTTTGAGGGCATTCCGGCTATGAAATTACGCCGGACGAGCTGAAAAAAGTTAAAGCCCAACAAATTTAATAAGGAAATTAATTATTAGACGTGACTGAAAATTGTGAGATAGAACACGAATTGAGGTTAGGAATATTTTCAAGATAGAAGAATATAGAATAGAATATATACATAAATACTGCAAATACTTATTGGGGTTAATCTCAATTAATTAGTGTCTAATTACTTATGGCATACAAGTTAGACCATTGAAATATGAATATATGAATTAAAAATGCTTTAGTCGGGAGTGCACGACTAGTGAATACCCTCAACACAGCGCGAGGTTATTAATCGAATCATTCTTTGCTTCTTTTATTGATACAGATAGACGAATGTGGCCCCATTGACTCTACTGCCGTAAGCACTACGAGAGAAAGTGTGGCCAGAGACCGATAATGAGGAAAATCAATTCAATGGATTGGCCTCGGACATATTCGAGCGAAGAGAGTGTGACCAAGATCCGAAAAAATTGACAATAGTAAAAGGAAACTCGGTTGAGTGAGAGTCCTACACAGGCTCTCATATGTTCTTCTATCAAGTAATGTGACAGCAAAGGCCTGGCCTCACTCACCTAGCCTACTATGTTACAAATTTAGAGATCCCCTCGAACCAAAGCAAAATCAACTCACACAAGTCATCAAAAGTATTTCAAATCAATTTACCCATTGTCAACATTCTCGTTCGTCAATTGAAATTTCGGTTAGTGCTTCATTTGTGTTTAGTTCGTGCACTATTTAAATCCCTTTGGCCTTGAATTCCTTTACTTAAACCATTAAATTCTATAGTTATTAATTTCGAAAGATTTCGTGGGTCTCCAGCGAGACTCACCCGACACCCGACACCCGACCGCAAGCCAATCGAATATATACATATATATATATAGCTCTCTCTATATGCATATATATATATTTGCATATACAACTATATCTATATATCGAGAGCTGTGAATAGTGCCCGCCGTCGAACGAGAGCGACCAGGAAACCCTAGAACTGAGAACTGATCCGACACCCAAACCTGGGAGAACAAGAACTCTTGAGGAAGTCGATACGATCAATTGCTGGAGCTTGCATTTTGCTAACCGCAAGCACCGTTACCCCACAGCCCCAGCCCTCGTCCGAGCTAGCCACTATTATTGTTTTTTGTGTGTTCTTTTTTTTCTTTTTTTTTTTTTTACACGTAACTGATCCAAATTTTTAGTTGATACGCGACCAAAAGATTTCGTTTAACTTGTTTGTTTACCAACCCAATTTTACGCTAGCATCAACAATACAAATTTCTAGAGGTAAGTCCTAGCAATAAGTATCTATGTATTACCTAGCAATGTACATTGCTGCCTCACTCGCCCATTTCCAGGGCTGCTGCGAAATATTGAAATAAATTTGAATAAAAATGTCGGCAAAGATTAAATCGCCGTCGTCTGCAATGCCCAGACGTTGGGCGGAGACCCCTCCGGGCACGCCCCCTGCTCGGCAGTGCTGCAGATGCCTCTGTGTATGGCTGCCTGCTCGGCTGTTGCCTTTTGGCTTATTGTTGCGGCTGGCTTCGAGCTCGCTGGCCCGGCAAAAATAATGCGTATCCGTTGCGGATACAGAGACCAATTCTCAGTGTTTACCTCCTGCCCCTGCCCCTGCTCACAGTTCTCGCCCTTTGCACTGTGAGAGGTTGCCCTTTGCGAATATCCGCCCCCTCCCCTATCCTCTCATTTGAAGTCCTGCCTCTCGGAGCTGTTCGGAGAAACCTCTGTAGGTCTCTCTCTTCTCTCCTCCTCGGAATTTTTCCTCATGGACTACCCCCACTCTGGTTTCTCTTTCTCTCTGTGACCCGCTTTCATATTGCCTCCCTTTCTGATTTTATTTTTTTGCTGAACCCGCCCTTTCCCCCCTGCCCCTGCGCGAGTCCATTCCGAGTCCCTGCCTCTCTTAATTTGTTTATTTGTTCGCTTTCACCTTTAAACAATTCCATTTACACGCAGCGACAAATTTCAGTTTTTACGACTTTGGCGTTTGCTTCGCTTGCTACCTTTACGCATTCGCTTTATGGCCGGCTCCATAATAACAATAAATAAGTTAATTTTAATGCAATAAACACAATTGAGGCGTGGACAGCTGCTGCAGTCGCTAAAGTCGGCCTCAACTATTTGCCACATCTCAAGAAGTTCGTTTCAATTTGAAGTTTTGTAAAACTTTTACCCAATCCTGGTACTTATCATAGCTTTACAGAGTAAATTCCTATAACTGGAATTACTTTTATATGTAAATATATATGTATGTATGTATATTTGTATACATATTACTCGAAGTACTAAGATGTTCTATAGCAATGCAGTCAGTTTTTATACTCAAGTGAAGTCTCTAATCCTAAGTTCTTTTTTTTTTAAGAATTTCTTGGAATATTTATTTGTATATATTCATTTCTATCTATATTTCATTAGTTAGTTCTAATGAAATGCAAAAGTCATGCTCATTACCTGAAACTGTCTGTCTCTCTCACTCTTTTCTCATATTTAGTGACTCTTTTCTTCTATATAATTATTTATTAAACTAATTATATTTTACTCTCGGACTAATCTCTCTCTTTTTCTCTGTCTCTCTCTCTCTCTCTTTCTCTCTCAGTCTATGTTAATACTTCTTATCTTCCTTTCTATCTTGGAGACTTTCCTTTTCTCCCTTTATCATGCGAATTCTCCATATGTCAAAATAAAACTCGCTGCTATTCTCTATGTCTCTTGCTCTGGGAATGATTCTCTCCCGTATTTTGCCTCTCTCTCTCCTATCATATAACAATTCTGTATGCCTTGCTTTCAATCTCTCTCTCTCGCTCTCTGTCTCTCTATCTGTCTTTCTCACTCTCTCGCTGTGCCTCTCTCTTACAGTGTGTGTGATTTTTTCGCTCGTATTAATTTACCCTCTTAAAATTATTCACTATGTTAGAATTATCTTCTCATACTAATTCTCAAGGAAGATAATAGAGAAAAAAGATGATCTGGTACTCTCTAAAAAAAAATTAAAAATTAAAAAAAAAGAGAAAAAAATCTGAAATTAGTTAAAAATATTTCATAATAATCATTCTCTTCTGAGAATTCTTCATTTACTCTCTTTTAATTTTATTCTCTTTCAGAATAATTTCTTCTCTCAGAATAATTCTTTATGTTTCTCTCTATCATCCCTATCCTATCCTACCCCATTTCTCTCTCTCTTTCTCTCGCTCTTTCTCTCTCATTTTCATTATAATATCTCACATAAGAAATGTTTTTCACACATATCTCACACAATTATATATAATATTCCCACTAATCTCTCCCCATCTCTCTCTCTTTCTCTTTCAGTCATGAACAATGAACATTCTTATCTGAGCGACATGCAGCAGAACTGTAAACTGTATGGGATGGTTGAGATTGACAAGCTGCGGTCCGTGTGGAAGGCCCGCAAGTTCGCCATCCAGGTGCCCGACGCGATCGTGCAGAGCGGGCTGCTGCCCTCGATCTTCGACTGGGCGCTGTTGGGGCAGCTGATGCCGGCGGAGCAGGCGAGTGGGGAATCGCTGCTGCAGCAGCGCATCAACGATCTGGAGCTGTTGAATAGCTTGACCACGTCGCTGCAGCGCATCCAGATAGTGCCGGAGATGGGGCTCGATGTGGACGTGATTATGGGCAGGCCCAGCTACAATGTGCTCGTCCAGGACGACGGCCGCATATTGGTCAAGGAGCTGCCCAGCCTGCATATCCATGTGCATGCCGGCGAGACGCGAGCCGCCGCTGGCCAGGACTGCGACATGCCGAACGAGGTGAACATCATGGCCATCGAGCAGCGCAAACAGATGGCCACGCTCGTCACCCACAAGGCGAAGCTCTTCACCAGGACCCTGACCATGGCCGACGGCTCGAAAATTGCCGAGCCGGAGGAGCTGCCGGAGGAGCGGCCCAAATTGGGCCACGATCCCATCGAGGAGCTGATCGAATTCGAGGAGTTTCTGGAGCGCACCTGCAGTATGTCTGGGCACCGCAACCTGCTCGAACAGCAGCTCGGCCGCAAACAGCTGGAGCTGCAGCAGCAGAAGCAGAAACAGCTGGAGGAGCAGCAGAAGCAGCTGGAGGAGCAGCAGAAGCAGCTGGAGGAGCAGCAGGCAGAGCAGCAGCAAGAGCAACTGGAGCAGGAGCAGCTAGAGCTACCGGATTTGGGCAATATCAGGCTGGAACTGCAGGTGCCGCCGCCCTCCGAAACGTCCTTCCAGCAAATCGACGAGCCCGTCGTCGTCGAGACCCGACTACGGCGCCGTCAGCCGTTTTGGATACGTTTCGGCAATTGGCTGCGCCAGAGCCTGCCACGCCTCAGCTAGTTAGTGGAGAGATGGCTTCAGCCGATTCCCAACTCCACGATGTCAATACACTCTTGTCCACAGATCCAACAAATAAATGAACATTTCTAGCAACTGCGCCCCGTATGGGTGGTCTGAATGCGGCGGGTGGTGGGGGCGGGTTGAACTTTGAGCAAATCGCTTGGAAAAATGCGGATTGCGTAAGCGAGGCAAGCAAACCACTTGACGGAAATTGCGCAAACACAAGACGCGTTTTGGCTACGCAAACTTCATTACGCTCAGCTGCATCGCTAGCCTTGGAGCGGCCAGAGCGAAACTTGCCTTCGTTCAGAGACCAGTTTTCCCATCCTCTCTTTCCAACTTTCTACTTGGCTTCCTCTCATTTTTTTTTGTTGCAGCAAACAAGTGGATTCATTTGAGCGAAAAATTCTATCTAGCTACAGGGTATTCACCGTGCGTCGAATTCGTATACTGCTTATAATTCTCAACTAGTTTTAGCGTAGAGGAGAGTAGAGTTAAGCTTAGATGGAAGTTGCATATGACTCTATGTGTAATTGCTCTAAAATCTGTAGGAGTTCACTCTTGGCACCCTTTCACTTCTTACTCTTCAATTATGCTAAGTTTTGGGTGATGGCAAATATATCTTTAGGAATTCGAGGGAACTGTGAATGTAGATGCTTGAATAATTGATTAATTCTAGGCAGTAATCAGAGAATACGAAGTATGGTGGCTCGCCAACTTCACAGTTTCCAGCTGTAGAATAGTTTGTTCTACATGTCTGGTCTATGTGTTCTCTGGTTGGTGTTCTAGAAGAAATACAGGACTTTCAGTTGAAAGATGCTTGGAGTAGGGCTGCTCAATAGTAGAAAAAACATGGTTGCTAACGTTTATGTGCCCATCGATAGCCAAACATCAATATGCGATATTTATCGAAAGCCGATATTGATAGCAACGATGATTATATTATATTATTCTTACAAACAATAAATTCAAGCACGCAGCGATAGATGTTTTTGCTTTCAGCATAGCTAAGCATCGAGTACTCCCAGCCTACACTTTATTTAGCTCGAGCTTCAGATTTCTGGATTGATCTACTAAATTAAAGGCGCTCTATGGGAAGCAAATAGGATTTTTTCTGTTACTGAGTGGGTTACAGCTCTGATGTGCGAGAAATATAATTAATAAATGTATAAATCATATTATGAGAATTAAAATTCTTAAGGTTTCCTCCATTAATACCTTCTTCCTGTTATTAGAAACATTTTATTGTCATATCAGCATAACTTTTTATTGATATATATTATATCTAATTTTTTTTTATATACAAATTTTATTTACTTAATTTATAAATTTCATTTCCATCTATCAAATTTTAGCCAAACTCGTAAAGCTGAAACTTGAATGGAGCCCCACATTTGGACACCTATTGAAATCGAATTTGAAAGGCATTCCGAAAGGCATTTTCGATAGGTTTAAAGCTGATTAGCCATAACATTTAACATTCCAGTCCTACTGTCCAACTGTCTCTCTCTCTCTCTCTCTCCACATCTATTTCTCTCGCTCTGCCATCGACTTTCGCCCGGCCTAAAAAGTGAACCAGGAGACGGACGCTTCGGCATGCAAAATGTGCATGAGATAAATGGAGCACAAAGCGCTTTGACGCAACATTAAAAGCTCAGTACCCGGGGAGTGCTCCAGCCTCGGCTCCGGTCTCTCGTCTCCTGCTGTGGCGCCATCTAGCGATGGGCATGAAAAGTCATTCACTAATGGGATGACGGCTGAATGCCTCGGCTCATGTGGAGCGCATGCTGTATATAGATAACTGCGGAGCCGGGAGGGCTGCCGGATCGGCTGGGGAGTTCAAGGAGCAGCGGTGTGGCTGGGCAGGAGGGGGCGGGGCAGGGCGTTGGCTGCTGTGACGGGGATGGAGTCCGATGACATGGTCTAGCCATATCCATTTGTATTTGCACTTCTTCTATTGGCAACATGTGGCGCCTTTTATTAAAAATTCATTTGATTACACACACACACACGCACACACACACACACATATGTATGTTACTATTGTGCAGACAGAGCTTAGACACCAAAACGGTGGGCGTGGCTGGCGATGGCATTGACAACGGCTCAGTTTCTGCTCGATTTCTTTGTCTGTTTCGTCATGTTGACGGCAGCTGCCCAGCTGCCACGCCCCCTTGCCTATAGGCCCTCAATTTTGACCTTCAACAGCTGCTGCAGAGGGGTGCGCCCAAATGTCCTCCGCTCTGCGTACTCTTCGCATTCGCATAAATCTATTGATGGATCGTTTAAAGACGCGTTGATTGAAAGCGAATTGATATAGATATTGATATAGAGATTGAGTATTATTAAAGTCAAATCAAGAGAAGCAAACTCGATATGCAACACAAAATAGGAAAGAACCAGTAGCACCAGATCCTCATTAGCTTTCAATCAATCAGTGAGACGCTTCAATTTGTCAGCTAGTAGTTAGATCTGTCGTTCAATCAAGCTGTTATTCAATCAATTAGGCAAACTAAGCTAGGACAGCAATCAGTAAGTCAGTCAATCAGAGAGGTACTCTATCAATAAGCAGACAAGTTTGCAGTATGATTGAAAGTCAAATAAAGTGTTCATCAATCAGCAAATTGAGAGAGAGAGAGTTTATCAAGCAAGCAATCAATCAGTCCTCAAGCATTCAATCCATAGAGAAAGGAAAAGTCATTCATTAGGCAAGTCAAATGAATAGTAAAAGCGAATCATTCTACAATCTATCCAGTGGTAAGTGAATCAGTTAGTCAATCAATTTGTGATTTGAAAGTCAGCAATTTGTTAATCAGCAGACAGACTCAGACAATAGGTTAGTCAGACATTTAGTCAGACAGCAGCTAGTCAGTGACTAGTGACTAGTGAAGCGATGAATCAACCAGTCATAGTTGAGTCAAACTGTGTAAAGTCGATAGCTCACTCATAAAGCAAATACTCAATCAATAGTCAGTCAATCAGCTGATCAATCAAACAATTTACAAGTGCTCAGCAAGCTGGACTTAGGGCTTATTAGTTATGCAACCATTTCGATCAGCTTGACAGCTAGCTATGCAATCAATCAGTCGTCAGTCAGTCAATCAGGTGGACTTAACTCTGAGCACAATTGAATGCGTCCAGTGGATTTATTCAAACGAGTGCTGCATGAAAGTCGAGAGCATATCTCTGGGTCACATGTGTGAAGCTATTCAATGGGCATTCAAATCTCTGTCGGCTGGTGGGCGTGGCGCGGAGTGCGGTGTGCGGCGGGTAGTTGCCAACAAATAAGAGTGCAAATATTTTCCATGTTGGTCAAGTCGAGTGAATTTGTCCAGTGTCCCTGGCACAAAATGCCAAATGAAGTGGAAGCAAAGAATTTCACACAATGTGAACTCTGACCTGCCTCTACACCACCCACACACACACACACACACCCATACACAGAAGTGATTGTGAATGATGAAGAATGGGCGAATAAGCCAACAAATAAACAAACAAACAAACAATGCGAAACGAAACGAACAGCAACAAAATACAAATAAGCCAACAAATAAAAGCAAAAGGGCAACAGGTGGGGCGGTGCTGCGGCCAGGTGCCGCTGTGGGCTTGGGGTAGACAAATTTTAACTCGAAAATCACATAAGCCAAGTTACCCTAGACCCACTCGTTAGAGCCATTGTGTTCTATTGCAGGACAAGATATGCGGTCTCCCCTCCGAGCCCACAGCGGCACGCCCGCCCCGCTGGGAGACCGGCACCTGATACTCTACCCTAACCTCGGCTCTGACACCGGTCCTCCACCCCCCGCACCGGCTCGCCCTCTTCCATATCCTGTTTGACAAACCTACTTCATTATTACGCTCGATTGTGTGGGACTTGTCGTTGTTGGCGGTCAGCATAAAAATGCAAACGGACAACGGGCGACCGAGAGGCGTGGGGTGTGCCTGACCCCGAGATACCCTGTAGGCAGCGGCAAGCAAGTGAAGGAATTGCAGTGGAAGAAGTCAGTTTAAGGCGAGAAAATGGCAAACGGTGACTGTCAAACAGGGAACTGTTAAGTGGGGACTGTTAAGCAGGTATTGGTAAACAGGGACTATTAAAGTGGGACTGTTAAGCAGGGCCTCTAACAGTGGGACTGTTAAACGCGGAATGTTAAGCGGGGACTGTTAAACAGGGACTGTTGGAGAGGGACTGTTGGACAGGGGCTGTAACAGTGGGACTGTTGAACGCGGAATGTTAAGCAGGGTCTGTAAAGTGGCGACTGTTAGCCAGGGATTGGTAAACAGGGACTATTAAAGTGGGACTGTTAAGCAGGAACTGTTAAGCAAGGATTAGTAAACAGGGACTATTAAAGTGGGACTCTTAAGCAGGGCCTCTAACAGTGGGACTGTTAAACGCGGAATGTTAAGCAGGGACTGTTTAGCAGCGACTGTTTGAGAGGGACTCTAACAGTAGGACAACTAAACAGGGAATGTTAAGCAATGACTGTAAGAAAGGGAATGTTAAGCAAGGATTGTTAAGCTATACTATATATATTACAAGGACTTTTAAACGCGGAATGTTAAGCAGGGAATCTTAACAGGGACTCTCGTAAGAGGATTTTCGCAGCTGAGACTCTACACTGGTGATTCACAAACTGTAAATGAAAACATGAAGGACGTTTGCCCATAGCAAGCCACATGAGATACTCCATATACCCTGCAAAACGCTAAGGGCACCAGGGTATCGCCGCACAGACACACAGGTAGCTGGGCAACCAGCGAATGTGCTCTGGAATGGAATGAGCCAAACATTTCATTTGTTGTCCTTCGCATTCCCTTTTCACACTTGGCGCAGCGAAAACAAAGCGAATGCCCCAAAAGCCGGAGCCAAGAAGTCGATGCTGATGGGGTGTGTGTGTGTGAGGGAGAGGGAGACAGAGAGAGAGAGATAGAGTCGGTGTGTGTGTTTGTGTTGTGGCATTACCTTTTGCATTGCGATGTGTATAAGACTCCTGCCCGGTGCCCGGCTCTCCGCTCCGCTCACTCAGCCGCAACTTTAGCTGTCTGTCAAATATGCTAGAGAAATATTTCAAATTGTGGCTGCTAAAAATTGAACGTACCGCGTGTGACAGGGACAGCAACAACAACAACAGCAACAGCAACATGCAGTTGTACGAATACTGAATGCTGTATGTGTGTGTATGAGAGAGAGAGAGAGAAAATAGAGGAAAAGAGAGAGAAAAGGAGGGACAGAGTCACATAGAGAGTGTAAGAGAGAGAGAGAGAGAGAGAGAGACAGAGACGGATAGAGAGCAAAAGAGTAGTATTGGGATATTGAGAAATAGTGTGAAAGAGAGAGAGAGAGAGAAAGAGAGAGAGAGAGAGAAAGAGAGAGATATACATGCATGCATACATATGCTTTCATAGAGTTAGCTCGTTAAACATTGTTATAATAGGATTCTAATGAGATTCCCTAAGTTTTCTAGTTCTACTCACTTGTTGGGTCTCTCATTGTAATCTACTTAAGCAGGCACAGGGCAATTCTGTTCGAAAACAATGGCATTCAGGAGAGCATATTCAAAACTATCCACGCATATACATAGATAAACTAGCCAAAATCGTCACCTCGCCCAAAATATTGTAGCATGTGATCTAGTAATCGTTGCTAGATCTGCTAAGCTTGATATATTGTACTGAGTATACACTAATTTCGGTAAATATATAGGTATATATATGTCGGCTATTTCTGCAGATTAGATCATTTTGTGGAGTGCAGCGAGTTCCTGCACTGTTGCCCTTCTTCCTCTTGCTAATCAACATCCATCGCAACCCACTGGCAACCTCGTCAGGACCACACTCGATATTAGTGTTAACTAACATCTCACTCAATCTCACTCAATCAATAATACCCAATACTATGCATGCAACGACATATCGATAAGATATTCTATTCGAATAATAATATCCTCTTCGACACATATGTACATGTATATCAGCCAGAGTTGTCACCCCTTCCAAGAATGGCATATGAATGCATTCTAATAGACTTTTGCTGGGGCAACTAGGGTAGATGACAAAGATGCTCTACCGGGAATATGCAAAACTCTATATGTAAATAAATATATTAGCCAGAGTTGCCACATTTCGCAAATATTAAGTGACCTACACTTTTGGACTTCTTGCTTAGGCAACTCAATGATAAGAAAGATGTTCTACAGGGAGTACAGAATACCATGTGCATAAGTAGAGCAGCCAGAGTTGTCACCTATTGAAAATATCAGATGACTCAAGTCCAATGGCTTTAGCTAAGGGAGGGTTAACAGAGATGCTCGATAGAGAATATGCTAAACTATGAACAGAAATTTACCAGCCAGAGTTGTCACCTATTGAAAATATCAGATGACTCAAGTCCAACAGCTTTTCCTAGGACAGCTGAGGAATAATAAAAATCTTCGATAGAGAATATGCTCAATTATGACCAGAAATTTATCAGCCAGAGTTGTCACCTATTGAACATATTTTGCTTGGGCAACTCTGCTGCGATAGATGACGTTCCTTACGAAAAGTCTTGGCCAGTTTCGATGACTCCGTCAAGTCCTGGCCAACGTTGGCTACCCTGGCAACCCTGCCCCTCGCCGCAGAGGCATCTCCGCGTTGCTTTGTTTCTATTCATTTCATTTATATTTGTTTGGTATTCAAAGCGCAGTCCGCAGCTACAGCTAAAGCGACAGCTGCCCCAACGGCTTGCCACATGCCACGCGGCATTTCCATGCCACATGCCAGACCGCGGCAGCGTCGACGCTGACGTCAACGTCGCCGACCACATGGGCAGCCAGCGACACGCCAAGAATTTCATTATTTGCACCTTTTGTGCAATTCGCCAGAAACTTTCTCAATTATTCATTTCGTCATTTTCAAGCAGCTTTTTTTTCTTAGAGCATTTTGAAGCTTATTTTTAGCTTGTTTTAGCTTTTTATTAGTAGTTGCCTCACTTGCGTATGGTTCATCAAATTTTATAGTGCCCAATTGGGAATTAGTCTCAAGTTGGCAGCTCTAAATCTCGGATAATGCTTAAGGGCTGAAGAAATGTTTACTTCCGAGGTATATATAGATATGTATATGTATATACATCTGAATTTGGAGTTTGTTTTTTTAGATCTTGTTATATTCTGTTCCTCATTCAAGACTTTAAATATGTTTGTATAATATTTCTTATGGGTATCATCTATATTATCTTAACTTATTATCTTATCGAGTTAGGCACTCGAGCTTTTGATTCCTTTCGAGAATTATGACGAGCTCCATGGCTATACATGCTGGGTATGCTTGTTGCTTTAGTCACTTCAGGATGTCTAAAGACCTTTGATAAATTTTCATACATTTTAAAAGAAACGAAATCTATCTAAGGCCCTTAAGTATCCTGGCGAAGGACCATATATAGCATACATGTTTTGGGGGAGCGATAGATGTATTATTAAAGGCTACACACACACACACAATCAAATTAAATGGAAGAGCACAAAAGAGAAACTTTCTTCCAGTTGCCTTGTTTTTGCCAATATCTGAACATATGCCGCACTTAAATATCTTTTATCTGTGCCACAAATCTTTGGAGCTACACATATTGAATTAGCTGTCGCGCCCTATGCGGCCTCAGAACGCGCTCCTCTGATCCTTTCGTCTTTCCTCTGCTCTTCGTGCGTGGTGAAAAATCAATTTAAGTCAAAATTAAATTTCCAAAATCAACAATATAGACTACACACACACACACACACGCACACACACACACTTGACTGACTGCAACAACAATATTAACATAAGTAAGAACGCCCCGCCATAACTTCACATGCCACGCCCCCCCCATTTGGTTGATGCCTTAGCCCAAGCTAGCAAAGAATTTGTTGTTGAGTCGCAAATATTTTGTGGAAATCCTTGCAGCCGCAACTGCAGTAGGCAGCAGGCAGTGGGCGTGGCTGGGGTTAGGTCTGCAGGGGATGGGGGGGGGAGGGTGTAGCAAAGGGTCGTTGCCAGTTTATCCTTTATGCGCGGCACACTTTCAGGCAGGCGCGTAGCCAGTGTTTGATTTATGCCGCTTGAATTTTAAAATTGTTTTCTTTTTCTCCATCACACACTCGCCAGCGACCCCCTCGCCTCCCTCTCGCTCTCTCGCTCTCTCTCTCTCTCTCTCTCTCTCTCTCTCTCTCTAGCTATGCGCATCTATTTATGTTGAACTGTATATACCCTTTATTATTTTAACACTACCAGTTTGCTTTTCTTAAACAGCAAAGCTGATAATATTAGAAAAATAACAGGTACATAAAAAGATGATATGATCTATATATCCTAATCATAAATGATAAACAGACTACGAAAAAGTGTCTACAGTTATGTGTAATATTATGTCTTAGAATGATTTTAATTTTTTATTTATTTTTTTTTTTCACATAAAACACTTCAAATATTTTCACTGAAAATATTTCTAATTTCTAAATAATTCTAATTTCTGTATGATCTGATTCTTCCAAATTTATTTAGTACTCTTTTCATCTTATATTTCATTTAAAGCTCCTTCTCCTCTCTTATGTTTGTCTTCTAGAACTGCCTATCTATGCAGCAAAGTTAATGGAATTGGAAGATATGTTGTTCGATTATCAGATATTACCTTACATAATAATTTGCTATTGTATATATATTATATAAGGTAATACATAATAAAAACAAACAAAACAATGCACATTAATTGCCATATTGTTGTCAAATGCAATGATTACAAAAGATAAAAACATATGAAACAAATAAAGCGGAGATTGCTTCATAAACAGCCGAGTTATCATAGCACAGATAGTCCTATTGGAGTTTAGTATCCTATTGAAATACACAATAGCCAACTGCTCCTCTAATATGCCAAGTTTGATGAGCATAGCTGCTCTTGAAGCTCAGTTCGGTTAGTTAAGAATTCTGATTTAGAGATACATGAGTTATATCTTTAAAAAAACAAAAAAGTTTCATTGTGTAGATTTCATTATAAGTAAATATTTCGACTCACTTTGGCATATGTTTACATAAAGTCAAGATACCTGCCTGCATACCCTGTACACATACATACATACGTCAAGGAAAATACAGCTGGAAAACAAATCCGATTAAGTTTTCGGCGTTTCTTTTGCCCGATTCTCATGCGTGTGTCGTCGCTTTGGGGTTGAGGCAACCAGCAAAAGAGTTTTATAAAAGATCAAAAACAAAAAAAAAAAAAACGGAAAAAAAAATAAGAAAAAACTCTTTCGCCGTTTTCAATCTTAAGACAACGTCGCCCAAGCCCGGGGAGCTGGGGTCTTTGGCCCAATTTAAAAAAATAAAAGCGAAAGGATTCCATTTTACGAGTGGCAGGAGAAACTTCCACAACAACAACAACAACAACAAATCAAAGTGTTTGGCAAGGCACGGGGCGGGGTCTCTCCGGAGTGGAACTTCCGCTAAAGGGGCTTGACTCGCCGTACTGCGTGTCTCTTAGCCAGTTTGCGACCTTGCCAAATAGTTTTACGGTGCCCCGCGGGGCGCTCAACTCTCAACTCTCTCAACTCCCTCCACTTTCCCTAAGCTAATTGTAAAATGTGAAAGGTTAACAACTTTAGGGTAGGTGCTTTATGTTTGATTATGAATAGTTCAACCAGAAATCTATTTAAGAGCTCTAGATCTAAGAGAGCTTTTTCATTGATATATGAATTTCTACTTCAATTCAATTCGTATAATAGGCTATTCAATTAACATAAGCAGGCTCTACATATAGCAAATAAAGGCAGCCGCTTCTAGTCATAGACCAATCGTTATAGATATTGATAGAAGTCTGAGGAAGTTCTCCATAGCACTCATAGTTCTATGCAATGCGTAACTTGCTAATATTAAAGTAGGTGCTGATATTAGGGTTACGAGAAACAGCGAAGGGATAATGAATGTCTGTCAGTGAATATCGATATGATGCACGTTACATACTCTGTTAACGAGCTGTGGGGATGATATAACTGTTTTTAGAAACGTGCGAGTAACTGATATTAATCTAATCGTATTTGGAATGTACGTAGCTTCGATAAAGTATTTTAATCGCATGCCGAATGAAACAATCGCCGTTACGTTGACGAGCGTCCATCTCTAGAGATGAGCAAGTGCATATCTGAAGTGACAAACGTAAAAA